CAATTAAAAATACAATATTTAAATGATATGACAATACGTAATTAGTAAGATGCATTCTAGAGATTCGGTTACATAGTGGCAAAATAAGAGCAACATGAGAACAATAAAAAAAAATAAAAAAAAGTATTTACCTACCTATTGTGCATATATATGATTATTTTGAATCTATCAAATTATATATATATATATATATATATATATATATATATATATATATATATATATATATATATATATATATATATATATATATATATATATATATATATATATATATATATATATTTTCTGTTCGTATTAGCTAAGAATTTTTTGAAAACATTTTTAATGAAAATTATTGAATTAAAGTAAGTAAAACACCTTTGTCCTAGAGTCTTTCTTGAGGACGAGATTTTGACGAACAGGGAAGTTTTTTGTCTAGTACTATATATGTGGTCAATATCGTGTAATACTTTATTTCTATTTTTAAATGTTGAAATTAAAATTGAATAGGCGAATAGTTGGCGAATATCAAGAACTTGAGATTCTTCAAAAAGTAAATCTGTTGAGAAAATATTTTTTGAGCATAATTTTCAGTATACGTTTCTGGATTATTTCTAATGTCCTTAGATGAACTTGATATATCCCTCCCCATGCTAGTATTCCATACTGCAGTCTAGACTCAACAAGTGAGTAGTAAATTATTTTTAGGTAATTTATACTCAAGATTGAACTAAAATATTTAAATTTAAAAAGTAGACATCTTAAGGTTTTTGTGATATTTTGAATATGCCTTTCCCACTTTAAATTACCATCTATAGTAACCCCTAAATATTTGATATAACTCGTTTTGTTTATATTAATATCAGCATTATTACTTTTTATCGTTAGTGTTTGATAGTCAGGCATGCTGTTAGCATATGACGCAAAAGGTATAAAAAGAGTTTTGTCGAAGTTAACAACTTATTATTAAACCATTCAATTATTTTTACCATATCCGCTTCAATGTTCCGTTTTAGATCTTGCCATGTGTTTGAACTGTACAGAATAACTGTGTCGTCAGCAAAACAAGTAATTTCTCCAGATATTTCTAAATTTAGCAAACTATTTACATAAACTGAAAATAACAGTGGACCCAAAATAGTTCCTTGAGGCACACCATACGTTACGTTAGTTAGATCACTAAATTGGTTGCTAATTTTTACCATTTGAGTTCGTTGTTCAAGATAACTTGTCATTAGTTGGTGCGGTATGCCTCTTATTCCTATATTTTCCAACAACTGAGTGTGTGAAACCGCGTCAAATGCCTTGGCCAAATCTAGGAATATACCTATTGTGGGGGTACCTGTATCTATTAATTTATACATTTTTGAACTCAAATTAGTTATGGCGTCTACTGTTGATATACCTTTTCTAAAACCATATTGTTTATGGGAAATTAAACTGTGTTTTTTAATGAATCTATTTAGCCTATCATTTAAAGATGATTCAAAAATCTTAGTTAGACAGGTTATTAAGGAAATTGGCCTGTAATTGCATACCTTTTTCCGATCTCCTTTTTTATAAATTGGTATTACTATTGACTGCTTAAAGTGGGAGGGGCATATGCCCGTTTGAAAGATTTTGTTAATTAGAAATGTTAGGGGTAGTTTTATCTCATCGGCAATGTGCTTTATGGTATCAATCTTAATATTATCTGAACCTGGTGCCTTATGAGGTTTCAGTGAATTTATTATATTTTTAATTTCTATTTCGTCTACGGGTTCTAGGAAAAAATTGTAAGGATTAAAAACGGGACGTGGATTTGATATGTTTTGTTTTACAATGCGTTTTGCGTATATCTCGCCGACATTTGCAAAATAACTGTTAAATATATTTGCCACATTTTTTTTATCTTTTTCTATACCATGTTCATCATTAGATATTTCTTCAATCTCTAATGTTTTATTGTTTTTATTGATTTGTTTGATTGTATCCCACAAACCCTTTGAATTATTTTTATGTTTACTTATTTCTTTTTGGTAATATTTTTTTTTCGCTTCTGTTATCAGTTTCGTTAATTTATTTCTATATTTTACAAAAGTACTTTTTATTTGCATATTATTAATATTTTGTTTATAGGCTCTATATAATTCATTTTTACTTTTAATTGAATTAATAATCCCTTGAGTTATCCATACATTTCTTTTAATTTCATTTCTTTTTGGTTTTATTAAGTTAGTATTTTTATTTATTAAATTTTTTAGATCACTCGTGAAAGTTTCTGTGAGATATTCTACATCCACGGAGTTGTTCATATACCTCCAATCATAAGTTTGTAATTTGGCTTTAATTTTTTTGTTATTTATTTGCGATATCATGCGTTCAGGTGGGTTTTTAACTCTTTTAGCTGGGAGAGTAATAAATGTAGCTTTATGATCAGTTACATTCAGATCTAGTACTACTGATATACAATTTGTTTCGGGATCAAGGATACCTTTGACGAATATATGATCTATACAACTCTTTGTTTCACCCTGAATACGAGTACTTTTATTGATGAGAGAGATAAAGTCATTTTCACTAAGGGAGTCCAAATATTCTGATGATATTCGTTTTCCACCTCAATGTTTATATTAATGTCCCCTGCGAGAATGTGATATTTTTCTTGGACATTTTTAGTTTCTGCTAAGTAATTTTTCAATCCTTCAATGAATACGGCTTCATTCGTCGATGGGGATCTATATACGACAGTTACCAATGTGGAGTTGTTATATTCATCAATAATTTCAATTTGTAGTGCTTTAAATATGTTGATTGGAACAATTTTCCATGAGTACTTCAGCGTTTTCTTGATATATACAACAACTCCTATTTACATCTCCCTCATTGTATAATATATCATATCCGGGTAGAGTAAACAGCGAAGTTGTTGGAATTCGCAATGTTTCAGTCAGACATACATAATTTGATTTATATAAGTTGGTGCATTCCAAAGTTTGTGTTCTTTACGCTTGTTTAGATTTTTTGATTTTTGCTAAGAAAGTTAAAATGGTTTATTTGTATTTTAGCATACTATAATTTTAACTTTTTATGACAAGAAAGGTAATATATAAACAAGAAATAAACTTTTCAAATTTCTTCCTAAAACGATACTAATTCCGGGTCTGCTTATGTAAATTTCTTAACGGTCGAAGGCGTGAAAGTAGAAAACTATTCGTCGATGGTTAGAAATTTTTAAGTTCCTTTACTCACTGCCGGGGACCGCCACGTCCCGGGAAACCTACTTTGCGGAAAGTTATACCCATCTTTTTCTTGCACGAAATGCGATTCCTTGTGTGTCAGACGCAAGCCTTAACAACCATTATGATTATTTTTAAATGCCTTATTATTTGGAACTAGTTTGTTTTATTTGCTTACAATTTAGCATGTGGTTGGAACTTGGTATCACCAACATAATAAGTTGATTACTTAAAAATTCCTATAAAATGGACATCGTTGTTTTTTTTCCCTCACCCTTCAAATATAATTGAATTACCTGTATTTAGTTAAAACACTTGTCTACATTTATCTTAATAACGCTCCAGCACACATTTATTTGGAATTCATTTAGAACATTATTCTGGCCACACATGCGTATTAGATGTTAGTAACAAGTTTGAAACTCGCTTCGGGAACAAACCTAATATTAGAAGAAGAAAAAAATGAAAACTTCACCTTACTAGAAAATTGTAAGAGCGATTTTTGACATTTACAAGGGTATGTAGGGGAAGAAAGAACATTAACACCTGAAATAAAACTTTATTTTAAAAAAGTACAAATTTATTTATTCATAACATTTCAATATATTAATTACATTTTTGGCATATCGATTTTAAAATTAAGTACAGACAAAAATATCTTATTATATACTGGAAAAAAGTCACATATCTTGTAAAAAATAATAATTACATTATAAAAGGCAACCTGATACAAATGTTTAATAAAATTGCTTCTTTAGTTAAATGAAACATAAGAAATAAAAAATGCAATTCATACAATATAAAAGGAAGTCAGAAAGAAATTTCTAAAATCGGTTTGGAAGCTTCTACTAACTTAAAAAGTGAAATAACTTACACAACAATCACAGACACAAAATAGGAATGGTATTTAAGGGTGGTCTTATAATCATGGCTACATAAAAAATTGCTATTGCGAATGCTTAAATAATATTTATCTCCTATAATTAAACTAAATTTAAAATATCTACGTTTTAAGCCATAGAAATTATCTTGAGACGCCATAATAAATACATAATTAATTATCAGTTCTAGATCACAATTTATATTATTTTCCACAAACTTTATAAAAAAAGGATCCAGTGTATCAAGTATTGAAAGAAAATATATTTAATTCTGCCTCAGCATAATTTTTATGACCGTTTTCAAAAATTGAAAAATACCTACATTAAATTAAGTAAATTCTTTTTGTATATTAAAAGGCTAAAAATTACTTATATAATTGTTTCTAAAAGTGTATAGATCTTAATCTGTAAGAACATTTATAACAAAAATAGACGATTCTACTTTTCTCTATACAAATAAAATAGGTGGAATTTTTTAATTCTTCCCAAATATCCGACAGCAGGATAATGAACAAAAAAGTATTCTAAATTTTGAACTTTCTTTGAAGCGCTAATTTTTAAAAATAACAGGCTGAATAATTTAGGACAGTTGAAGGGTAAAACGGTTTTCATGTTTCTGTTTGAACTTTTGTACTGTTCAATGGTATAATTAAAGATTAAATACAGGGTGAATTTTTTACTACCTTGTTATAAATTTTGATTTCTTCATCGTCAAGCACTAGTTATAAAGTTAAGATAGAAACAAAAAAGTCGTTTTTATGACCCTTTATTACTTAATTTAAAAAATATTTAAAAATGTTCAGCCGAAAGTGGTTTTAAAATATGATTTGTTAAGAACATATCATTATCGAAAGTTTGGGGCACCCTGTATATGGACATTAAGAGTTTTTAATTGTGCGTATTAATTAACCGTTTGTTCTTAGTTATTAAATGTTAAAAACTTTGCAGAAGTAGATTTTCCATTTCCACCTAAAAGCAATTTTAATTATTAGTTAGCATTAGGAAATAAATAGTATTGAAAGAGGAAGGGAAGGGAAGGGACGAATATATTTGCAGCATGAGCGATAGGTGAATCTTTAAATCACATAATAGTATAACAATTATAATTTGAGGGGGTCTCACCTGCGAAACACAGGTTATTGCCGACCGATTACAATACAATTCGCAGATAAAAATTGTTATACTATAGCAGAAAATTAGTACCATTCCTTGCGACTATTCTTTTTTTACGGCTATAACCATTGTATAAAGAACTAATAGTAGTATCACCTTATGGAAGTTTCATTGGAGCGAAATGAATACTACCAATAGATGGCGCTAGTGAATTTGGATAAGTCGAAAGTCGTTTGTTTTGAAGTGGGCGGACTTGAGGGTCGAGCTGAAATTTTTGCAGATGACGGAGACCGATGGGTTTCTATTTTTAACTTTTAGAAAAAAAATTATTCACTCGTGATTCATTGTTTGGACTATTTTCTAGGTAATGGTTGTTATTGTGCGTTAGTACGTTTACAGGTAGTAGGTATTGTGAATTAGTTGTGTTTATTTTTTATTACTGAATTATTTTACTGTTAATAAAGGACGAGTTCCCAACAAGAGTACATGATTTAGGTATATATATAAAAAAAATAAGTTTTTGGAAAGTGCCAAAAATGTTTACCAAGTTCAGTAAAATGATACTGAAAAATTAAAATATTATAGCCATTAATAATTTTTGAATTTTCAACTTTAACACCCTGCATTTCGAAAACGGATAATTTTTTTCTAAGCATAATTCATTTAATCGTTTTATTTTTAATCAGAGAATCTTCAGGTGTACTATGTTCCATTCTTAATGATATATATTGTTAAATTAGTTAACCATTAATTATCGTTTTAAAATTAGAATTAAAAAATTGTGTATTTATAACTGTTTTGAAATTATTCAAATAGAAAATATGCGTTTGTTTTTCTTTTCCTTTGCGGATAATTATCCGAATTAATTTAAAATAAATTCTATAATATTAATAATAGCAATAATAATACATTTAGAAAGTGTATTTTTAATTCAAATACATACATAGGTAGGTAGGTACCTACCTAAGTACTTAGCATTGAAGTAATCATAATCAACAGGTTATTTCTTTTATCTGGTGCGTAGCAATGTAACAAACAAAAACCCTTAAGATGGTTGGTAAATAATCAGGGCCGACGAGAGGGGGGGTAGCCGGGACAAATTCCCGGGGCCCGGGCTCAAAGTGGGGGCCCGGGCTCAAAGTGGCGGCCCGGCAGCTTTGGATGACGTTTTTTTTTAGTTCGCCACAAGAGCACAAGAGAGAGGACTTTTTTTAGAGATTTCACTAAAGAGGAGAAGTGATATTGAAAGGGCTTAATTTTTTTATAAAATTGTTGCGGGGCCCGACCTGGAAAATTGTACCGGGGCCCGACCTGGCTCTCGGCAGCCTTGTAAATAATATAAATGAATTCTTAATATTGAAGTAAACACAATGGGTTTTATAAGGATTATTTTTGTTGGTAATAATCCTGTTGGTTAGATTTGGAAAATATAAGTAATTTTTATGTATAATTCTTGGTATAGGTAGATTGACGTGATTATTCTCAGGTGGTTCTTTACTGGTTTATTTAAGTCCCAGCTAAACATTTGTCTCTTTGAATAATATAACTTAAACTAATGTTAAATGATTTATTTCTTTATTATATTTCATATTATTTCTACTTTTTCTAACAATAATCAATTTAAGATATCTACTTTGAGGCAAAATATTTAGTAGGGAAGTTTTCATTACATAAACATACTGTGTGTCCAAAAAAATATTAAATTTGGCTAAACAGTAACCTTTATTTCTAAAAACAGGAGGACAATGTTACTTGAAAAATGTATTTAGAATCAATATTTACCATCAAATCTCAGACCCGGACACATTTTTTTTTTTTAACAATACGGGAGAAGCAAAAGTGACATTTTTACAAATGAAATTATTTTGAACAAATTTATTTGAGATCATGTACAAGATTATTTATTATTAAAGACACCTTTTATAACCACTATTGCATATTCAAAAAAAGCTTTAAATAAAAGTTTTTGGATATGACTGATTTTTTTAAAAAATATACCATAAAAACACATTAGTATTCAGATTTCACTGAATACAACACAAATAAACTTTTTTAAATGGGATACTCTCTATGTTATTAAATTTCTGGGATATAGATTTTTTTTCTAATTTCAAAATTGTATAATATTATTGATAACCCTATCTTATACCGACTGTTCTCGAGTAATTTAACGTTGATAATGTAAATATAAAAAAGTTAACACTATTAAAGTAAAAACTATGAAAATCACAACTATTATGTTTGATAATAAACTAATCCAAATAGGTAGTTTACAGTGAGGAAGAAAAAGTGTAAATATTTATCTAAACTATAAGATATTCGACGTTTAATTAATCTGGAAAGACTAAAGACCATTACGAAAATTGAATAAAATATACCTATATCTATGCTATCCCTATTAAAAAATATTCATATTGTATCCTATGAAAGATGCACGCCACTGATATGGGCATTATATTTTTGATGACATTTTAACAAAATTCGGTCGATGTAAATATTATACAATAATAATTATGGCATAAAGGGTGGGTAATTTATAATGAATAACCCTGTAGGTACCTAATAATTTTCAGTAAAAAAATTTTAATTCGCACTTTTTTACGTAGATTAAAGAAAAATGTAATTTCGTGTTTTCTTGGTGCAGACATTTTGCGACACACTGTAAATTCAAATCCAAAATGATGTAATTTTTTTTTCAACACATACCTAATACAAATTTATTAGCAAAAGGTAAATACTTGTTATTTTAGGTATATTTCTCCTTTAGACAGACATTTTTAGTTTTATTGTCTCAAGATTTTAAAAAATTACCGAACCTTATAATATTTTATTTATAATTTGATGATCCCGAGTGGCCATCGCACGAAGACGAAATTTGTGCATAAAGATTTAGATGTCATTAACATAAAATTAATGTTTTGAAATTAATTTATGAGTTTTACAATTTAGAAAATAAAAAATAAAAAAAAGTGCCTGCTCGTGGGTTTTAACTCTGAACCCCTCGATTCACAGGCGAGGACTCTAAGTTTCCGTTATTGACACATATGAAAAAGTTTTACTTTTTAACGCTGATAATCAAATTGGTTTTAGTTTCATTAAAATCTCAATTTATTTCTAAATATAAACGAATATCTTGTGGAATGCTATTATTTATTGATTCTTCACAAGAATCACTAATTTTTAATTATATTTAATCTCAATAACTAAAAAAATATATATTGACAATTCATTTGACAGAATTGTCGCTTATAAAGTTCTAACATCTGACCAGCAAATAAAATCGTTAGTTCAATTTATTGTACCAAGAGGTGTCGGGCGCGATTGCCTCCAATAACATGGCAATTATCCTACTATAGTTCTTTATACAATGCTACAAATTACTCGGATTAACAATATCTCTTGATTTCGTCGGACTATGACAATAGAATAGTTTGTTAGTAGCAAAATGACCGTCATTTGATTTTAAAATATTATTTTCCAACTCATCGTCAGTCAATTTGCTGATTTACTAATAACATGTAAACCAGTCTTAAGAGCAAACCGGACACCTCGAAAATTTATAATTCATTTTGAGCCTTTATTTTTAGTCCGATTTTTGTGAAATTTTCAGGAAATACCAATAATAACAAAACTTTTTTGTAAACCTTCGGACAGTATTTATTTTGAAAAATTTTAAAAATAATTTCAGAAATAACATTTACACGCCATTCTGTATTAAATCTAGAAAAATTTACTCTTACTCTATTCTAAAACGTCTCTGTAGAGTGCTTGCTACCTTATCGTTGCACAAATTTAAAGCTCTCAATGTTGTCAAGACACATAATATCACGAAGTATTCCCAATGGCACGCATATAAATACAATTTTATATTAGAAATTCCTTAAAACATTTTTTCTTTCGCAAGAGGTCCGGTTTTCTCTTAAGCTGAATATAATGAAATGAAATTACATAACACTTCATTTCTTAATCAAGAAGAGTTGAGAAAGTGCAGTTTTATATTATAGCCGTAGAAAAACATTTATTTTTTATACATGAAAAACCTCAAAATATTATTGTATCCTTTTGAGAAAAACTTCTATACAGGGTAGCGCATCAGTCTGTAGAGCCAAAACTATATGATTTTTTCTAATCTGTTTCCACATCAAGATGTATATCAGAAAATGCAACATGGAACACCCTGTATTTTATTTTTATTTCACACGTTATAACCAGTTTTATATGAAAATCGTATTGATTTCAATAACCTGTATAGTGCCAATGAAACAATTGAAATCCATTTTTTATGCGGTAAAAGGTTTTGCCGATGCACTACTTTTGTCTATAAGAAACAAATCTGTACAGGGTAAGTACAAACTAAAATATATCATTTTATAAGTTTTTTTTATATTTACGACCCTGTATTTTATATCACCATTCAAAAGTACCTTCATTAAAGTTTCACTTCAGTTAAGCATTCCTGTACCCAAAGTTAATAATTTTGAGTGTTTTTTAAATTTAAACGAGAAAAAAGATATTTCACAAAATACTTTTAATTTTAACTTATCACTGGTTAATAGGAAATAGACTGTCAATTAGTTAAAAATAAATAAAATAGCAACCGAAAATTTCACATAATTACCTACTTTATTCTATGTTTAAGTGTTATTTAAACAGACTTTATTTACTTAGAAAAATTTATCTAAGTAGCCTTCAATAATATTGATGGAGATCTTAAGATGGTTTTCAAAGGTAAAACTCACATTTATTTTTAAAAATAAAATAACACTATTACTAGTTCGAACTATTAGTATTGAGGAATTCAAGTCAACTTAAAAATATAATAAACTCAAAATAAAGTTTGTATTACAATGGAGCGAGTCTAGAATTGGTCTTATTTTTAACTGAATGTTAGTTCTATTAGAAATTGTCAAAAACTGTTTTAGTCGATAATAAATTACAGCTGGTTAAATTATAATCACTAATTAACAAACAGTCCTGTTAACCAGTGGCCAGTTAAAATTATATAATTTTGTGAATTATTTTTTTTTTTGTCATTTAAATTTAAAGATCTCCCAAAATTATTAATTTTAGGTATAGGGAATGCTTAGCTCAAATGAAACTTTAATTAAGGTACTTTTAAATGGTGATATAAAATACAGGGTGGTTAATTAAAAAAAAAAAAAATTAGAAAATGATGTATTTGAGTTTTGACTGATTTGTGTGAACAGATTTGTTTCTAATTGAAAAAAAGTGGTGCATCGGCATACATTTTGACTAATATCGAAAACCTTTTACCACAAAAACAAATGGTTTTCAATTATTTCTTTTGCACTATACAGGTCATTGAAATCAATACGATTTGCATATAAAACTGGTTGTGTCTTCTAAACAAATTATGTCAGCTTAGTTGGATCAAAATATAAAAACTTTTATACCAACAACTTTTTTAAATAAAGTCTTCAACAATACCTCTATCATTTGTAATCTAATAAAACCAGAAATAGCCTACTTTTAGTGATTTTAATGACAACTTAATTGTTAATTCTGTCAAATACGTTAGTGTTAAAGTTAAAGAAGTATTGTTAGCTAGCGCAAAACAAGTTATTTTAACTTAAAAACGAATTATGTTATTATTCAATACAAATCTAGTTGCAAATGAGATCTGCGCTAGCCTTACAACTTTTTTGGAGGCTGTTGTCATATTGGCGACAAATCAAAATTCACTCAAGTCCAATAGCCTAATGTTAAGTGATTTTTGGCGACATAACATGCAAAGTCATATGTATGTGGGTTAGGTACATAATGCAGGTTTGTTTGTATTTACAATTTAAGGTCGCCCAACTGCCAGAATAACTATTCATTTTACAAATTTTCTATTTTCGGCAGTTATAAATATCACTTAAATAAGTAGATCATTATATAAAAATCACAATTGTAAAACATTTTTACTTACATACGTTTCTTGATATACCAGCTTCATTTTCATTATCTGAAGGGGAATTATCCAGTTTTATATTTACACCAGAATCTGCTGAAACATCGGCAACTCCTCCTTTAAAAATTAATAAGTTTCATTTAATAAAGAAATTTAACTTAGGGCCAGTCTTTTCACCTCTGAGTAAAGTTGAAAGTAACTACTTACTGATTAAACTATAGGGCTATTATTGTTTATTAATCTGTTAAGTAAACCTACATGTAACTTGACTCAGAGGTTAAAAGATCGGCCCTTCTTCTTTTTAATAAATATAACTAAATTGGTATTATTTGGAAGGGCAACTTGTAGGTTGAGAGGGGTTACCTTTCGGACGATTTCGGGAAATTAGTGACCTTATTTCGCTGTCTCATGAATATCTATATCAAGTGAAGTAAGCAGCACTAGTGAGGCTACTCTAATGCCGACATAACAGAAAAGTATAGTAGGATCTGATAATACATAATCATAGTATTTTGGTGCGAGTTTTGGGTGCATGGTGACAGTATTTCATTTATTTATTAGAAATTCAATTTATTTATTGAATGAACACTTAAAACTATATAGCTATTCAAATTAATAAAAAAAATGTTCTGTTTTTATTGAACCTCCCTGGTCGATTATTTTAAACGCGGACCTGTAGTCTTTTCTAATTTTTTATACTGCTTTCATTCTAATTTTTGAAAAATATTAACTATTTAGCAATTAGAAACATTTTAAGCCCAACATTATATAGAATGTTTTATGTCTCCTTCGAAAAACTGTATATTTCCTGCTATAATTCTTACGGGAGAGGCTAGCCACGAGACTAGTATGCATTCAAGTTCTCGAAGCAGTAAAGCCGTGATGTCTCTGGTCACGTCTTGGATGGATGACCGCTGGACTTAGCTGACTAGCGGTTAACCATCTACGACATGGAATGTATGATGAATAGGAAGGAGTAAGATATCCAACTGGTGGCACAGGTGGCACAATGCGTCTCAGTGGACCCAAGCTTGATTGCCGGAATTCCTCGAAACCTTTGTGGACTGAATTATGGGTTACATGAATGAATTCAGGATGAAAAATAGTATAGAACGATAGAATAAAATGCCCAGGAACGCATTTAGAATAAGGATTCCAGGTCCAAATTTTAAACAATCGAAAGAAAAAGAAATATTTGAAAAAATTTTTTGGAATGTCAGATACTTTCACACCATATTATTGTCCTCCTCAATGGGCAACTTTTATTCCATTTAACCAAATCTGTATATCTAATCATTCCTACCTTTATGTATAAGTTTATCTGGTATAGGTAATTCTGTAGGATCTGGTGATGCTATAGATGTCCCATTATTGCCCCATATATATTGGTCCGGCGGTAAAAGATGACGAGCAGGAGATATTAAGGCAAACGGATTGCCTAGAAGCTTGGGATTTTGCATAATAGGTAGTTGAATAGATAGATTAAGGGCGCTATCACAGATGTTTGTCGTCCAGTGGTTCCATGGATTGGAATCCTGAAAAAGATGAGATTCATTGTGATGATGAAAGATAATTATATAAAAGTAAATAATTAAGAAAAAGCAATTACTCACAGGTGATGGAGGAGTATCAGGCTTGGGAGGACACGGTCTCTTCATTGACCATGATACCATTTCTAGAGGTGGAGGAGGAGGCCAGTTGAAATGATCTCTATTACCTACTACTAAGTTATTGGACTTGTACATAGATGGCGGCAGAGGTATAAAGTTTTCTAAAAAAAAAAATAAAATTTTAAGTAATAACCAAAATATAAGACAACGAAGGCTTCTAATTTACCTGCTAAATTTCTGTTTAGAACTACTACTCCTTTTTTTTTACTGCCCTTTATGAAAAACATCAAATCAAAATCAAAATAAAATTCATCTATCGAGAATATTTGGAAAGAACTTAATTTCAATGGTGTTCCATAATAATCTTGGTAAAGTTTTTCAAGGTTGACAAATAAAGCGGTTCCGCCATTATTATAAACAACGTGATACAACTGGGCAGCTAAGATGTACAGGTCTGTCAAGGAGATATAATTTATATCATTAGTTACTGATATCTGAAAAAAAAAAAAACGGAAATGTAATGAAATATTGATTTATTCTTTGCTTACCAACAGAGCGTTTTATTCAGATAAAAGTATTTAATTGTTTTATAACTGAATTGCAGGGGGAGATATTTTATTTTAATTTTGTATATGCACGCACCATATGTTATGTAGTAATTATTTGTATTTGGTACATTATATTGATGCTCTACATTATATTATATGAATGAAAAATATTCTTTAAAATCTATTTTTATTATCATCTTATTTATACATAAATCCCATCTCTTTCATAAAAAAGTAGTTAAGTATATTCAATCAGGTAAAAATTTCCGACATCCCCAGATGCGAAATTGTTACTAGGATCCTAGTTGCGAGTTGCTAAGATACCCGTTACATTATCCTGGTTATAAAAACCATTCTTTAGAAGTCGAATGTTCCTCAAAATTAAAAACCTGAATTCGAATTTGCATAAGAAAAATAAATTAAAAAGAATTAGGAAAAAACTGTTACTTAAAATAAATTTTTCTTTTATGTATGTACCTATTTGCATTTATGTTCCTTCGTAGTAATTTCCTTAACTATCCCATAATAATATCCATAGATATTTCATATAATTTCAACAATATTATCCTTAATATTCATGAAATTTCTGTAAATAGCATATATTTTTCTCACACTTCGTCAGCATTTTTAAATTCGCGCCTATACAAACTCTACGCGTGACGTCATGCGCGTGGCCGTCCTATTTTTGACACTGCCGATATCCTACCTTTTATTTTTGTATACCATGACTGAATTGTAATTAATAAACTATTGATAGTTTGTAACTTAAGAACTAGTGATACTAAAACATAACGATCTTAAAACATTATCATCATTATGCATCATTCTCTAATTTCATAAAAAAATTAATTGCTTGGCAAACTTGTAATATTTTTTAAAAACCTTCTAGAGTCGAATACAGTATTACCAAACCATTCAAAAACTAATAAAAATACAGGGTGTTCTATTAAAAAAATATACATTTTTATTTTCCAAGCAAAAACGCAACACCCTGTATACCCAAAAATATTTTTAAAATATGTATTTTTCAAATCCATATAACTTTCATTTGAAATTTGTTTGCGTGTCTATAACACAAATTGAAATATTGAACAATTACGAACTAATCGGTATATGTAAACAATCTGGGTTTAGAAAGCAACACTCTTGTAAGACTGCTATTCAGTTCGTTTCTGCAAAGTGGAGAAAAGACATTAATGAAGGTAATGTGGTCCTGAGCGTGTTCCTTGATTTAAAACGTGCTTTTGAGACTCTCAACCGCAGGTTATTAATTAAAAAATTGAAATCATATGGAATTCGACAAACAGCTTTGGGATTACTTGAAAATTATTTGAAAGATCGGTATCACGTGACCAAGTTAGGAAATCTAAAATCTAAAAAAAAAATAATTAGTGAATATGGTGTACCGTAAGGAAGTGTTCTGGGCCAGTTAAGCTTAATTTATAACCGCCGTAACGTAACTTAAGAACTTAACGTAAGAAGTTGAAATATTGAATTTACGTATACTTATTTATACTGTTCGTAACGTAACTTAAGAACTTAACGTACCGTAGAAAGTTCGCCAACTTTTAACTTAACAACTTAACTTAACTTAAGACCTTACGGTTAGCCAATGAGATAATTCTGAGTTCAGCATGTGATAACTGTCAATTATTCTTTTTATTTTTTTTATAAATGATTAGACAAATACCATTTGTAAACTATCATTCTCCTTTTTGATGGACATACATTATCATGAATGATTTGTGTTTATGTTATTGGGAATAAACTATTTATGAGATATGAGTGTTGATGCATATACCTATAAATATCAAGTCTAGAACTGAAATAAGACACAAAACTAGTTTGCTAGGAAAGATTAAATTCTCATTATTGCTCAAAAACAATCAACATCTTCGGTAAACTATTGTTTTATTATATTTTTATATTATTGCTTTTAAAGTAGTTAAAATATTCTTTCTATATAGCAAAATTATAATTTATAAGTTTTATTTAGAGGTTAGGTACATAGTTTACACTTGTTTATTTCATAAGGTTGTCAGTAATTTAATAATCTCTGAAATCAACACGCATGCTCAACTCTTACGTTACGGACGTTTATAAATATACTTTATTTTTATATGTTAGGTTAAGTTTCTACAGCGTTAAGTTAAGTTACGTTACGGTGGTTATAAATTATACTTTACTGTTCATAATCTATATCAATGACATCCATCATGTATGCAAAAAAGCTTTTGTAAATATTTTTGCAGATGATACGGTAATATCTGTAGCCGGCAAAAATTTTGAGGAAATAACTAACATTCTCAACAATGAACTGAATATTCTGTATGATTGGCTTTGTGGTAATAAATTAAAACTAAATTCTAGTAAAACTAAGTACATAGTATTGGGAACTAGGGCAAACTGTCTGAAGTATTAACAAAATAATTATTATCTTAATATAAATAGTAATCACTTGAATGTGTAAATGAAATAAAATATTTGGGAGTCATTATTGATCCACAATTATTATTTACAAATCATGCAGAATATTTGTGTAAAACTTGGCTTTTTTAAAAGAATACCCAAGGATTTGACACAGTGGGCAAGGATGCTGGTATATAACACAATTATATATCTGCATTTCAACTACCGTGCTTCAGTTCTTCTAACAAGCCCAAAGGAACAAATAGCAAGGCTACAGATTTTACAAAATAAATGCAATCGGATATTATTGAATTGAAGTATATATACACACCTATAAGTACAATGCTGAATGGATGTCGGTAGAACAGGGTATTAAGAGATCGAATCTGATTTTTGTATATAAAATGGTAAACAAGAAAGTGCCAAAATATTTGTGGAGTTGCTATCTACCAGGGAGCCTATTCTCAAACTATAGGAAAATGAGGGTGAGAGCACTCTCTCACGATTTGGCCTTGCTGCGCATGTCACTCGACCAAAATTATAAGAAATCATTTCAACAGCGAGAGCAGTATTGCAAGACGTACCATAATTATCGTATTTGTATGATATACTGAAAAATTGCCAAATTCTTCGGAATTTTTATTTTCCAACGAGCTAGATTGAATTTCTGTTGCGTACACACGTTTAATGCGTTTAATATTTTTGTAATATATCATGACATGCGTACAATTAAAAATATTTTTAAATACAGGGGGATTCACAAATGTAACAGTAGTTTTTTTTACAAAATCTCACTCATTCTAGTATGACGTAAGGGAAGCATTTTTTCGAAAAGTACTACTCGATATGGTATTTTGTCGACCACATATTACACAATACACATTTCTTATACAGGGCGTTTTATAGTGAGAACCACAAAATAATTTTTTTAGGGATTACTTCTAAACCCTGTACTATAAATTGATTTTTGGGGAAAGTAATATCACTAAAATATGCGTACCTCTAAGCTTCAAAATATACAAGGCGGCTTATTTGTTGGAAGATATTCTATTTTAATAAAAGTACAAAAATCACAAACACCTTAAATTTTCCCAGGTCAAATGTAACCTTTTTCTCTGGCACTGTTTTAAGAGTTATGTATTTTAAATCCGATACTATGACCAGTTTTCGAGATACATGGCGTTAAAGTGGAGAATTGTTGAATTTAGTTTATTTTTTCTTTAAACTGAAAAGCTAGATTGTCTTTATACAGGGTGTTTCCGAACTTGGCGTCCAAATTTGTAGGGGTGGTAGTTCGCATAATTTGAGACCGATTCGCAGATTTCATTTTTCCAAAATATTTAAAATAAAATTAAAAATTATAAACAGGTACGGTCCTGCACAGCGATGGACCGCCTCGACTCGCGCGCGCTACGCTTAGAATAGACAAAATTGCAAATCGCATCTGTTTTTGAGAACTATTGCGCTACGCGCTCAGGGTAGGACCCGCTCTTTGATTTTTTTTATAATGGCTCTATTTTGTTAATTATAATTTTTTTTTAGAAAAATGAAATCTGTCAATCGCTCTCAAATTATGCGAACTACCACCCCTACAAATTTGGACGCCAAGTTCGGAAACACCCTGTATAGAATATATAAATTGAATTTAAGTTTTGGGTAGATGTCCAATACAAGAGATAGTTTAAAACAGTTGCGGCTCGTGACCAAAATATTGGTGGTTTACAATGACAGAATATAATAGATATCAGTATGGATGTAGGTAAAAAACTTTCAGTGTTTTAGAAAGGAATAGGTATAGAAAGACTCTCAAAGTTTTTACCTACATCTGTACTAATACATATCTATATTCTGCCATTGTAAAAACCCAATATTTTGGACACAAGCCGCTAATGGTTTAAAATAATTGTTACGGGGTGCTTCACAAATAAATCACAATAATAATATATTTTTGCAAATAACTGCAGTTGCGCCACAGATAAATTATTATTTCATTAATTTTTTTATACAGGGTGAGCCATCCAGCCAACCACCAAAAAATAATTATGTTTTGAAATTATTAAAAAGTCGGCCTTGCATTTCTTTAGTGACTTTGAGTAAGTTAATAATTATTTATTTATTATGCCTTTATTTGACAAATGTACAACATTTGCCCAAAGATGGCGAAGATTAGCTAGAGAGCTACTCTTTAACTCTTAACCTTCTTTGGTAGCAGTCTAAATATAAATACATATTCAAAACATATTAAAAAACAATCAGAAGAAAACAACATTCTTTAAACAAAAACATTTATAATATAATCAAAAGAGAAGAAAACAATAATATTATTGAGTACAGAGTAGGTTTTCTTTTATGTTTAGCTTAAAAATATTTAGAGAGGCATTCCAATTTAAGTGGTTAAACCTATTATGTAATTTAGCAGCATTATATGAAAAAGATTTTTCAAACATACAAGAATAGTGCTGAGGCATTGTAAGAGTATTCTGCCTAATATTTCGATTATGAACTGAATTTATAAATATCAATTTTTCAAACAGATA